GGCCTAGTCAGTCTCCAGACCTTAATCCCATAGAAAATCTGTGGAGGGAGCTGAAGGTTCGAGCGGCCAAACATCAGCCACGAAACATTAATGACTTGGAGAGGCTCTGCAAAGAGGAGTGGGTCAAAATCCACCCTGAGATGTGTGCAAACCTTGTGGCCAACTACAAGAAACGTCTGAACTCTGTGATTGCCCACAAAGGTTTTGCCACCAAGTACTAAAGCACGTTTTGCAAAGGGATCAAATACTTATTTCATTCATGAAAATGCAAATTAATGTACAACTTTTTTTGTAATGCATTTTTCGGGATTTTTTTTTTGTTTGTTATTGTGTCTCTCACATAAACCTACCATTGACATTGTAGACTGATCATTTCTTTGTTAGTGGGCAAAACTTACAAAATCAGCTGGGGTTCAAATAATTTTTTCCCTGACTGTAAGTGACTCCAGAAGTTGGCAGTAATGCAGCATCTAGGATCTCAGCTGCCAAGACAGTATGGCACAAACTATTGCTTGGTGCACCAGAATGAGGAGATAAGGACACAAAAATACACTCAGACAAGCTAAAGGTGAGATTTGTGCTGTTTTCAAGTGAACCAGCTGAAGTGAGGACTGTCGGGGGGACTCCCCTTACATAGGAGACAGGCCCAGACGGGGCTAATGCTGAATTACCACAGCAAGCTAACACTGCTGACAGTTTGGTTCAGTTCAGCAGACACGAGTCTTGGAGCACCATTTTATTTCATTTGTCAAAAAGTGAGCGAAGAAGATCCAAAACAAAGAGACAGAAGAAAGCTGAGGAGAAACCAAAGAAAGAGGCAGCAAAAGGACAAAGGGGCAGTTTCTCTGTCAACTTGGATAGAAGAAAAGCCAAGACTGATACAGTAGGTTGCAAAAAATGTCATTCATCATATTTTGACCAATACATATTAATTTTGCTTTAATTATTAATAAAAGAAATTTGCATAATATGCCTCTTGTAAACTAATACTGTATGATAGCCTAACAAAATTAACCCAGGCCCACTACAGCTGCTGCCAGTTAGAGATGCCATCAGTACTGGGCCACTTTAACAATCAATAATCAGTCAATTAACAATTTATCAAATAAAATTTTCCATAATAAAAGGGTTTTAGCTAATGACAATCTATGCTCGCTGTAAAATCCGAGTAAATTGGGGATGTAAAGAACAGATGAAGTAAAGGCCAAGTTACTCGGGTTACCTGCTGAAAATAATGACTTTGTTTAAAACTGTGGCGCTTCTGCTCCCGTCTGTGGCCAGCTATCGATTGGTCAGACAAAATCCCGTCCTGGTTTTGTGAAAGACAAGGCACATGCCTTGTGTGGAGAGACTTGTGCTGGTTACTGTGGTGGAGCTGCTGGAAACACCCGCTCTGCTTGTGGCCTGTCGTTGGCCGGTGCACAAGGCCTGGGCCGGAGCCGTCGGTTGAGCGCCAGGAGCTCAGCTCCAACGTCCTCACATATCTGCCCCAGACTCTGCGTCCTGCTGGCCTAAGGCATGTAGGACCTAACTCCTTGTTATTAATGCCGGGGCCGTCACGCAGCAGCAGGGTCGCTACGCGTCTCCAAGTCACGCATGTGGCGCAGCTGCGGTAACGTCATTCATCATTTAAAGCTTGTGCTGTGACAGTGTGATCTTACAGCGGCCGTATTAATCTGTTTTCCTGCACAGTGCACAAATGGACACTTTCTACGGTGAAATCAGTGGGAACAAGCTGCTCTCAGGTCGAGTCCAGCAGCGTCACAACTGCTCAAATACAATTAAATGTCTATTTGAGCTGGCTTTGCTGCAACCACTGAACGCGGTCACTTACAGTAAATACATCCTGAAATGACGGGTACCAAATTCAGCGCTGCCAGTATTTCTTCGTTTGGGTAAAGTTGGTTTGGAAAAAACATTTAGAAGATTGCAGTATCTCTCTCTTTCCAAAAGGGATTTGTGCGTCGTGCACCCAGACGTCTCTGCTGGCCGACACCTCGGGCCTCAGGTAGCAGTTACACCGGACAACTCAGCACAGACTTCATGCTGCAGTGTTCATCGGCTCATCAGCTGCAGTCTCATTAAGCAGTGAGCTGCACCATCTAGTGGTATAACCAGGTACTACAGCACATTCTGTGACAGTCACATCCTCCTACTCTGCTCTGGTGGTGAATGTATTTTCAATCAATTAAAATTAGTAATGGTGATTAATCAATAATCAGACACCCCTAATATCATTAGGGATAATAATATAGTTTTTAGTTTGTAATGTTCAGATACTGCTGACAAGGCTCTGGTGCATTTGATTAACCTCTCCAGTAATGTTAACTACTTGTTTATGGGAGGCTGCCTTTGTTTCTATCAAGATGAAAATAATAGGTCTCATAATCACAACTGAGAATGTGATAGACAGTCTGTGTACAATGTGGGTGAATTTATTATTAGACTAATAACTGTAATATTGGAAAAGACTTCACATTAGCGCTGTCCTGACAGATGCCTCTTTCCTGAACTTTGAGCCCCTGCCCCTGAGAAGCTCTCTGCCCATTCCTGGTGAGCACTCATGTTTGCCTTGAACTGGAATTTTAGATCAGCTAACCCCTGCTGTCAGTGTTAAAGCAGCACAGATGCTTAATTCTGAGGTGAGGATATGTGATGGCAGTGTAGTGACATCTAGTGAAGGACGCACATCTGTACACTGTTCGCTGTTACTGTACATGTGGTGTGCCACATCACACACAGTGGACACGGAACAAACTGTGTTGACACCTCTGGATGAACTGTTCTAGTAAATCATAAATTGAAAGGGAGCTGTTACCAAGGAAAGTAAAC